AAAAAAAAAAAAAAAAAGAAGACAGGAGCCAACGGCTCAGCTTTCTAAGAAATTATACATCAACAGGAAGGAAAGGAATATGCTTTTCAGGTGATTTTATCCTACACTGCATATTTCTCTTCTCCTACAGCCCGAAAACTTGCTGTACCTCACCCCTGAAGAGAATTCCAAGATCATGATCACAGACTTTGGTCTGTCCAAGATGGAACAGAGTGGCATCATGTCCACTGCCTGTGGAACCCCAGGCTATGTGGGTGAGTCTGGGAGCAGAAGGGAGGTCGACCAGTTGGCTACATTCAACCATGTGGATATCACTCACAAAGGAGTTCAGTGTCATGGACTATCCAGGTAGAGCATTCACTGATGAGGTTTAGGGCCAGCCAATCCATCTACCACTGGAAATACCCGCTACAGCTCCCAAATTCTATATCTTTAAAGACAGGCTACCTCTGAGCCCTGCCCATGGCCTTCCTGTACTTTGGCTCTCAGTCCTGCAGACAGACTTCCAGGTTTTATCTTTTTAGCTAGACCAGAGTCAGTAAGATCTGTGATGAGTAGAGACCTAGAGATCAGTAGAGAGCTGAGGGGTTGAAAACTAGCCCTTCTCCTTTCACCCCCCTTGGAGAAGACCTCAACTTCCCCTCCCCCAATTGCTGGGAGCCCGGAAGCACAGGATGTTGAGTTTGGGCCTGAGGAACCCAAATATAGGCCCTTAAATGTACACCCAAGGAAGCACGCTAGGGCACTGGCAGAGGTGGGGCCTCCTGCCTGAATAGCCCTGTAGGGCCCCCAAAAAGGTGAAATCAGGCAGGGTACCTGGTGAGAATATTCCTGGGACCCGTGGGGGAGAAAGAGGGAACTCAAACACTGACTCCTGCCCCTTTCCTCCCAGCCAGTCGTCAGCCGTGTCGGGTTGGCAGTGGGAAGCAGAGCCTGACTCAGGAAGGGCGGTCACTCCCCACCAGGTGTCAAGTCCCACTGGGTACAAAGCTCTGGTATCTGGGATAAATACAGAGGGCAGCTCCCTACTGCCCCAGGGCTCCCAATCAGAGACAGACGTGGCTCATGCGCTCATGGAACTCTCAGTATGAAGCTGCCCAGAGTCTGATGGGAGAGTTACTGCCTGTCCTCTGGGAGCTCCTAACCTAATGGCGGAGGCTCAGCCTCTGACCTCTGGGAGCTCACATGCTAGTGGGAGGGACACAGCTTCTACTCTGAAGATCTCCCAGTCTGAAGAGAGAGACACAGCCCTTGCCCTGGGGATCCCGTATCTGAGAAAGAGACCCAGGCCCTGCCTCCAGAGAGAGCTCAGTCTGGTGGGGGAGATGTGGCCCTGGAGATCCCCAGTCTGATGGGGAAGTCATAGACTCTATCATGGGGAATGCCCAGTCTGATGGAGAAGTCAGAGTCTCATTTTGTAGGATGGTTTAGTCTTCCCAAGGGAGACACACCCGCTGCCCTTGGGGAGTTTTCATTCTCATAGAAACACCACTGGTCTTGCCCAGTCCTCTTCTCTAAGCCTCTTCCTGACCTTCAGGCCCCACCGCAGAGCCCTCTCCTCTTGCCCCCAGCCCTGACTCTGCATTTGGTTTGGCAGCTCCGGAAGTGCTGGCCCAGAAACCCTACAGCAAGGCTGTGGACTGCTGGTCTATTGGCGTCATCACCTACATATTGTGAGTAGAGGCTGGCATGGGCTTGGTTCCTGAGAAATCTCAGAGCCTGCTCACTCTTTCTTCTCCCCTGTCCATCTCAGCTCCTCCTCCAAAGCATGTGCATGTGTACACGTGCAAACACAGACACAGACACAGACACACAGACACACAGACACACACACACACTTATGCACGCAGCTCCAAAGTTTCCTCTGTCCTGACCTCCACCAAGTTATAAAAACAGGGCTCAGCATGACCCTCTGCTCAGCCACCTGGCACTCCTGCTCCTGCACCACACCCCTGTTACTGCATGT